TCAAGGAGCAAGTCGTCCTGCTAGGATTCCACGTGTTGGGGCCACACACAGACTGTTTGTTTTGGGACGAGACCGGGTGTGTTTTCTAACACACCAGTATATAGAAAACATCTGTTTGGGATTGAAACTCGGGGTTCGTGTCCAGAGGATGATCCTTTACATAAACACTCCCATGGACACCTGCCCAATAAGCAAACCGTATCCATTTACCTAAGGAATCCAACTGACCTCTTCCGGGAGAGCTTTTCCCAAGGGCAACCAAGGACGACATCTAAAATCCTCCCCAGGAGTTTTGAGCAAGTTTGGGAAACGGTCACCTTCTGCTTCCACAGTGCCCAGAGGAGGTCCAGGCTCGAGCCCACCGCTGCTCGGGCAACTTCTCCAAGCACATGTAGGGGAACGCCGGGCCGCAGGGGGTGCGGCGGCCACGGGGAAGGCGGCCGTGGGGAGTGGCTGGGGTGGCCGCTCCCCCCAACAGCACTCTGGACCTGCCCCTGCCGACTCCTGGCCCTGGCCTGCCCGTCTGCCCTCGGAGCACTGGCTGACGAGCTCATCCGGGACTTCAACCTGGCTGACACGGGAGCAGCACAGAGCAGCCCTGCTATCCCACACAGGCCACCCTCTGACACCGCACACTGCTCCCGAGCATCCTTGTGCCACAGAGGGAGGAGGACAAGGTGGCAGAGACCCCATGGTGCCACTTCCCGGGCTGGATCCTGAAGAGCAGACAAAGCACCCTGGGATTCCTCTGCACCCTTAGTGAAGGGGCCACGGCGAAGGGACTGCCATAAACCGTGAGCCCCATCCCCGCCACTGGCCTGTTTCCCTCTGAATGTGACTCGGTTGTTCGGTCTTGCTCCAATCCTTTGTGTGCAAGACCCTCCCCTCCGGCTCCTCGAGTTGAACAGCATAACCGAGTGGAAGGTGGATAGTGACAGCATCAGGGTCCAGCTGATGGGGACAGTGAGCAGCACACACGTGGTCAGGAAATAAGCGTCTGTCCCAGCATGGAGACGGCCGCGCAGCCACGTGTGAACGCTGGTCTCAACGTGGCTGCTGCGTGGCCCCACCTAACCTCTGTCTGAATCTTTAGTGTCCGACGTGTCCTCAAGCCAGGACTCTCAAGCCCTTGCCCCCACCCCGCAACAGAAGTATTAACCATGCTAGTTTCCGTTTTGGTAACTTAATGACCTAAGCTTCTTAAGTTAGTGGTTTATACCAGGAGCTATAAACGCGTATTTGTAGAAAACGCTATTTAAAAGATATCAGGTGGTTTAGTCCAGTCTTTGCCCTGGTTCCATGGAAAGAAATGGGCTGCAGGCTGAGCGATGTGAGATCCACGCAGAGCCCTGCTCCAGGAGCAGTTATAGAACCTGGACCCGGCCTGCCTTGGAGAGAAATGGTGGGCAAGGATGGTGTTCCCACCAGCTAGACTAACGCTTCCCTGTAGCACAAAAGAAGGAGGCATTCTGGTCCACTGACAGGTTAATGTCCGCTTTTGTTGACCTGCGTAAGTCTAAGGAGGCTAGACACAGGCCCTAACCACAGAGAACAGAAAAGGCAGCAGCGTCTGGTGTCAGACAACACAGTGTTATCAGGGTGAGCTAGGAGAGCCTGCGTCCCATAGCGTGGCCAGCGGTATGGCCATGGCCAATGACAATGACTCTGAAAGGCCAAAGCCACCAGTGTTGGCAAATTTCCCCAATAGTTAAGCACTTATGCCATTATCACATGTGGCCAATGGCTTGTGCAGCCACCTTAGTGGTCTCCCTGCCACAGTACACCTTGGAGGGAACCTAGGATGTGGGTGTTATAGTGAGATGGGTGTTTAGCTGGGATCATTTGGTTCTATCGCCTTTGAAAACTTCCCAGACTGAAATAGCTGGGCCACTCTCTATGGTGCAGAATTTTAGGACCTGAACTAGCAAGACATCTGCATACTTCCAACTTTCTTATCAAGGAAGAACGTCTGGATTCTGCCCACGGGTGTCCCCTGAACACCTCTTGCCATTCTGAACTGGGAATGCCAGACCCACCGGGCTGGTGGGATCCGCAGTTCCCCTCACAGCTCAGAACAGATCCACTCCAGACACCGTTCAGAGAATAAACCTGGGACTCACTGCCCCTCCAAACTTTTTATCCAAAGCTTGGCTGTGAAAAATAAAATGAGCGAAGGATTACATTGGAGGTCGTAACATCTCTCCAGGCTCTAGTAATTCAAATCCATTCTTGGATTAAGCCACTCCCTTAGGGAACTATGTACCTGCATCAAGAATTTCAGTTCCCAGGAGAGTGGCTTGCATCTGAAATGAATTGCATTTGAAAATGACACTGGCTCTTGCTTGCTACACAATTATTAATATATAACAAAGCCCCACCAGCCCCCCTTCCGTGCTCCAATAATATACATGCATGCTTTCACAACAACAACAAAAAAAGACGGAATTGGCAAACACAGGAAAGAGCCTGGGAATAGAAGAATTTTTGAAGAACTGATTGTGATTATATAACCAAGAGGTTGGGATGAAAAGCAAGCAGGCATCAGCCCGCCCACAGGAATTTGCCAGTGCACACCGTTGTTACCGTCTTAGCTCCTTGGCAAGAAGCAGCAAACGTCCCTCTGCCTGAGCGTGGGCTCAGCGGGTGGGAATGCGGGGACTTGAAATGTATCATCAATCAGATCTCACTTTTTAATGGCGAGTCCTAGTAAGGAGAATATTTTGCTTACACTTCTCTCTCTAAGTTACATAAAGCAACTGGGTCAATAATTAGACCTCTGCTCCCTGGCAGGGTCTTAGGAAGAACTAAGTCGCCAAGAGGGCAGCCTCCCCTGCTGATGGGCGGCTCGCTCTGGTGTTCTGGTAGAAGCCGGGCGTGTGGGGTTGGGGGTGCAGAACTAGAAAGACTTAAATGTGTGGCAGTCCTGGAAAAGGTGTGCGGCATGGTCACAGGTGGGCCTCCTGGAACTGGTGTTGTGACTCTTCTCACATGGAGCCCACCTGGTGACCCAGCCCGACTCTATTCCAAAAATACACTAGCAGTGCTCCGAGCACAAAGGGATTTGGCCACTACAATAAAGAGTATCTGCTTCTGTATAAGGATATATCTACCTACGTCTATATGCCTATATCTCAAATGCCTACTGAACGGTAGGGCAGGGGAGGCATTTCCACTGACATCAGAAACAAGGCAGAGACGCCTAATGAAACACCTGTTTTTTCTGACATGGTTCTGAAAGGTGTAGTTACTGCTATAAGACAAAGGGCAATTCACACCAGCAAGCAAATTCAACACCAAGGATACCGTTTGTTATCTATAATATTGGAAAAGATTTTTTTTAAAGATAAGTGTACGGGAGAGTGCAGGGAAAAAGCCTTCTTGTGTATGCTGCTGGAAGAGAGAAACTGATACGATCTTTCCAGGAATCTGACAACATACACCAAAGGCCATAACAGCACACATAACCTTCAATTCAGGAAGCTGGCCACTAGGCATTTATCCTGGGGAAATGGACAAGGGCACAGAGAAATAAATAGAGGGACATTGATTAGAGTAATGGGGAAAAAAATTCAAAGTAAATTTATTTGCCCAATGTCCATTTCTGAGATACTGCTGAATCCCTTAAGGCATTATCTGCACCACGGAATATTATATAGCCATTAAAACGGTGGTGTGCAGGTAAATCTGCTGACATGGAAAGACCGACCATCAGTGAGAAAAGCAGGCTGCAGGCAGAGTATGCGGGGTGACCACATGCTTGTGGAAGGGAAAAGCACCTATGCACAGAAATAGCTGGGAATATGCACCCCAAGATGTTAACAGGCATGTTTTCTAGGTGGTATTTTAGGAGGGATGTTAATTTTCTCCAATATGCTTATTTCTAACTTATTGTCAATAACTGTGAAAATTTAAAAAGCATTTCAAATTTTTAAAAGTTAACAGTGATATATTCCCTCCATATCTGTGGTCTGCATCTAGAGAGTCAATCAACTGTGGGTTGAAAATATTCAAACGAGAAAAATAAAAAATAACCATATAACAATAAAAATAATACAAATTAAAAAACAAACAAACAAATAGTATAACACCTACTTACTTACACAGCATTTACACTGTGTTAGGTATTATAAGTGACCTAGAGATGACTGAGAGTATACAGGGGAATGTGCGTAGGTTACATGCAAATGCCAGGCCATCTTACACAAGAGACTTGAGCGTGCTTGGATTTTGGTATTTGCAAGGGTCCTGGAACCGGTCCCCTGCCAATACCAACGGATGGCTGTGATTATCACCAACAAACGCTGTATGTTCTAATCTACACATTTCTCTGCACCAGGCAAGATTCATGGAACGTGTTGCTATGGAACTATAATTAACACTCTAACTTTAAATTTTATCAAGGCTTGCAAAAAGAAATAACTGCTGGTAGGGTGTCTATACTCCCCCCCCAAGAATAAAGTTTATCCTGTTTTAAAAAATCTGTCTCATATAAATGACCAATAGAACAAATTAACACACAGAGAAAAGTTTCTCATGCCCTATGTGAACAGGAGCGTGCTCTTATCTGGTAATAAAGACCGACTCATGAATTGCATTTAATGTCTTGTGTTTGCTCTTAGCTTTCCAAAGCTGAATCCTGGTTTTCGGTGTAACTGTTTCCTTCATTCTAGATGTTCAGACAGATCCCTCTTCTTTCTCCTTTCTGTTAATCCTTGCCCCTGTCTTTTTGCTCTCATTTAAAATTTTACTTTGTGCCTTTTATGGTAATTTGCAGAATCAGTAAGCCACAGACTATTATGGAGGAGAGGAAAGGGACAGACATGTGGTTTGTGGTCTCATGGAGCGTGAGGGACAGTGCTATTTATCTCATGAGTGGGCAGACACCAAACATGACTTTAACTTCAAACAGAGCCGAGAGGCCCGGCTGCTGTCAGGGCCCCCTCTCCAGTGTTTAGCTGAGGCCCGTGGCCTGCTAACCGATCCGGGGGGGCGATACTCACATGCAAACTCGGATGGTAGGTCAGCACGCCATTGTCACACAGGGTGACGTATTTCTTTTTCCACTCTTTATTCAATGATTTGCCACTCCGCTTCAACAGCATGCCCTACGAGGAAACACAGCCAAACAGAAAGTCTTACGTAAATTTAAAAAGAAAAAGAGAGAAAGTGGGTATATAAGTAATTTTTACATTTTTAATCTTTCCTTGTATCTTTGCCACCTTAAGTAGATGACACCTATTTTTAGGTTGTTAATTTGGTTTTCTCCTTTTACATACAACATACACATTCAACAAACTTCTCTGTGCGTGTGTGTGTGTGTGTGTGCAGAGCTCTGCGATGCAGGTGAATGCTAAAAGATGTGCCCATTAGTTCAGCAAATGCAACTAACACAAAACATCCATGATGTGCTACCTTAGGCCTTTTGCATAGCTATGTCATAAGCACAGAGGAAACACCTAAAGGTGTTAGGTTTTAAAGAAAGAAACCTTAATTTCCTTTCCTGAAAATAGCACATTAACTGTATTCTCACCTTATATTTTATAAATAAGCATATTTTACTTTGCAGTTTCTTTCACTTCCTACTTTTAACTTATTAAAACCTGAAATTCCATCGGCAAAATTTTAGTAACATTATTTAATATAAGAACTGTGTGTGACGTGCTTTAACCCACTTTTAATGAAATCATATTAGGGCTCCTTGAAAACCACTCAGAATTGGAAACCCACACATGTTGGAAGCCATGTTTAATCCGGTTGTTTTTAGAACGGCTGGTGAGAATGTCTTCTTGTTTCAGCCGCCACTTCCCAGCAAGCCTTCCTCCTTGTTCATGGCCTCTCCCGGGTTAAGGCTCCTGGCGGCCAACACGGAGGCCTGACACCCGTCCGGCTCCCGGCGTTCACACATTCCCAGCCGAGAGTCCCTTTCGACTGCCGCTTCCACTCCGGGAGCCTCTGCTCTGCTCCCCGAGGCCGCCTCTGAACTCCTGTCCGCGCAGAATATGGACAAGGCAAGACTCTCCTCTGCTCTGCCTCTGGCTGCCGCCCGTCCAAGAGCTTCCCTGACCACAATAGGGACAGGGAGAGCCTCAGACGAATGGCAGTTAGTCCCGGGGCTGAGGCTGAAATACAACCCGACACCTCGAGAAAGCAGAGACCCCTGGGAGTCGCCTCCCCCAGCCTCCGAAATCCTGTTCACCCTTAGCAATCACCATAGGAGAAAACATTCGGTGTTAGCCTGCGCTATAATTGAGTTCAGGTTTCGATGCATTGCCGACATTGTGACAGTCCTGTTTTGTATTTACTCAGATCACAGCCACGTTTCACGAATAGAACAGGTTATGAGGCAGCTTGGGGCTCTGACCACCGTACGACATTGCTGCTGGGAGGAAAATACTAGAAAGAGTTTGAGACAACTCAAAAACGAGCCTTTGGAAGATGCTTTCTCTGCAAATTCTTATTATTTAAGGTAAATGTGGCAACATGCAGCAGCATTCCTTGATGCCTTGGAACCTAAACAAATGTGAACCAAACATGGCACTGAACCCAAGGCCATAGGAAAATGTCACTAAGTTACAAATTAAGGTAAAATAAAAGCCTCGTGGCCTGGTATGAATTAGTGGGAGAGGGACAGTTACCACTAGCGATGCCACCATAAATAAGCAGTTGCTTCACATCATGAAATATCCTTCCCCAGTGGGATTCATGAACTTTAGAACTTAGCACAACAAGACCTCATATGGTTCTCCTGTGGGCTCACATTTCCCATCTTCCATTTCAGACGGAATGCCAACAATGCCAGGGCCGGGGGCACTGGTGTCACGGGCAGATCAGAACCACTCCCGGCTCTGTTCCGAAAGCTTTGCCCCTGCCCACCGGGGCCAGCTCCAGCCCCGGCTCACACCAAGTGGCCTGCAAGAGGGACTTAGGCAGCTCTTCTGGTGGCTTGTGGGCACTTTAATGAAATTACCCTTCCCCAGTGAAGGCCACTAGGACTTATATATCAGGAAACAAGGGAAATAGTCCAATCAGGAAGTGTGTGAAGAGATGGCATCACAGTTTTCTGATGAACTATTAATAAACCAGGCTGATTTATTCCGATGGTAAGGAATCTTAATGTCTTGGTGCAGGGAAAATCCAAATCTTGACAATCTTAAATAAACCCTATGGCTCACCACCTAGGAGGATAATCTTGGATTACATGCAGTGTTCAAATGCTGCAGAAGTCAGCAGGCCTGCAGGACACCCTGGCGTCCTAGGAGTCGTGTTTCTGCTGGGCAGCCCAGGCCTCGGCTGAGTTTATTACCTGAGCCCCCACCCGCTGCTCCCCACCTCATGCCAGTGGCCCAGCCGGGCCACCGATGGGGCCCTCTTCTATAAATGCTCTGAGCACTAAACCTCGCCGTGCACGGCACGTTCACTGTCTCCCTGTGTCCCCAAAGCAACAGGGCTACGGCTCTCTTGTGGTTCAAGACTGAAGGTGTCATGTCAGGTCCCGGCTGGGCTGCCAGAGTCTTGAGTTACCAATTAAACTCTGAGCCACAGAAGTCAAGCGAACTGTTACCTAACGGGAAGTGGCAGGGCCACCCCTCCTGCCTCCTTCACTCCTGCCCTGACGCCGGATTGCTCAAACTTGACTTCAGTTCCTGCTTGTGGGCAATGACCTGCTCCCCGGATGGAACTTCCGGGCACCCCCAGCCACTGCCTGACCCAACGCCTTCAGTCGTGAACCACGAGCTCCTAGTTCCAAAACACCAAGGGGCGGGTCGCACAGGATACGCCTGGAAGGACCTCTGTACGCTGCGTCCCCCACCCAGAGGGAAGTGAGAGCCCACGGCCGCTCACATTTCGTGTCCACGCCGCACTGCACGGCTCCCAGAGGATGTTCTCCAACTCCCAGGAGACGCCAATTCGCCTGCAGAACATGAACGGACAGGGGCGAGTTTCGGGAGCTCGGTGAGCTGCCCGGGCGACCTGAGCCCACGTTCAAGTCTGGGAAGCACTGGAAATCTGACATGTCCCAGGAACCAGCAACTTGTCCAAGCAAATTCTTTAAGTTTTGAGTTTTTATCTTAATGACTGTGCCTAAAAAGCCATCTGAGAACTGCTCTGGGATTTCACTGCCTGAGTTGACATTCGCAACTTCGAAGGTCGCCAGCGGTGCTGGAGAAAGAGACGTAAGATGTAAATAACTCGCTCTTTGACCAAGGAAACCCCAGATGACCGCTTTGCATGCTGCACAAAACAGAAATGGGTTCTCGGTTTGAATGAAGAAACGCGAGGGACTGGGGTTGCCACACTACACGGGCACGAGGCGAGTTGAAAACCCACAAAAACCCCGCACGGCAACAGTCGGTCCCCACCTTCCTGTGACGGTGGCAATCGTTTCCACAATACAATAGCATCCTTCACGTTAAGCTCATTTAATGCTGTTCATTCAAATTTCATTCTTAAAAAAAAAAATCATCAGTTGTAGTTAACTCAATTATCTTTGGTTTTATATTTATTTAAGAGCTACAAACTCAGGGAGTTGAAATTTAGCTTTATGCTTGCACATAATTATGTGTTATTATCACGAAAACAATGTAAGTCAATCTTGGGAGGATCCGTGAGATTTCTGTTCTTTTAAAGGGTTCTACGTTGCTCACGTCCGGGAAAGCCTGGCCTAGAGCAGACAGGAGCAGGGACGCAGCTGGGGCGGAGAGGCCTGGGACGGGTGGGAAGGAGAAGACAGTGTGAGAGATACTCCGCACGTGAAATAGGGACGAGGGGCTGGATGAGACGGGGATGGCAAGGGACATGCAGAGCCCTGCCTGGGAGAAGCCAGGCTGTTGCTGTAGTGGCCCTGCGGTGTCAGTCGCTGAGCTATGGGACACAGGAGACACTGGCCAGGAGGGGAGGGCAGAGGAGGGAAAGGAAGACCAGGGACCAGCCGGACGGCGCTGGAGGTGCTTGTGGCCCAGCAGGCGACACGGGCAGACTGTGCAGAGCGTCACACCCGTGACAGTAGGCGCAGCTTAAGGGGAGCAGGAGGGACAGGAAGAAGCTTAAGGGGAGGAAGGACCACACCTACGGTTTAGCGCTCCAGGGCTGGGCTATATAATCTGATTGGCGAAAACAGAACCAGAATCCCACTCTGCAGAATTATCATCCAAGGGGCAGCAAAAGTTTCCTGAGAATCACTAAAATAATGATGCCATCTTGTAACAGGGTGACTAGCTCATTCTCCTTCTTTAAAAACAAATTAAAATGTTTTAAATGTTTCTAAAATCGTAGCAATTGATAGTAAAAAGCATCCTGTTGAACACTTTAGGAAAACAGCAGACAGAAGTATCTGCCATTTCAGATGAGGAAGACATGCGGTAGGGACGTGAGCAGAGAGAGCACCCTACACCTCTACTGCCGATGAAGAGTTAATCTGCATGAGACGCCCTGACTCCAGAAACAAGCGACGAGATCTCGTCCTGCGTCTGACAGTCCACAATATGGGAAAACTTAATTCTCACTGAATGAATCCCTGTTAAATATAGACAAATAATGCACTGAGTTTTTAAAACGCAATAAAAAGACATTTACCATTTGAATAAAAATTTGGAAGTCCCTAGTGCAATTATAATGTATTTTAGAAGATATTTTTGGTCTGATTACTCAGCATTAATCAGAAAGTCACAAAAATAATTGCACACGTTGTCGGGTAAGGAGATGTGTGTCCATCTGCCCACGGCTAGCATGGAAGTATCGGGCTGCTCTCTGCGCTGGCTTCCGGGAGCCAGGTAAGCAGACACGGATGGGCAACGTGAGACCACACCCTCCCAGGCACGCCAAGGAAAGCAGGTCACCTCCGTCTCTAGGCGAGACTGCAAGGTGGAACCACGGGAGACACTCCGGGAATCACGCTGCAGTGGCAGCCACCGCAACACAGGTGTTCCACACAGTGAGCACATCACGCCAATTACAAAGCAACAGCAACAGCAACAAAACTACCTGTCCCTGAGCAGCACAGCCTTGAGGGCACAGCAGACCTGCGCCGACGGGTCTTAGCCGTGGCAAACGTCACGTGGGCGTCGGGTCACGCAGCGGAGGGGGGGCACGATGGCTACACGCGAGG